GCAAAAGACAAGCACTTTCAATGAAATATATATATGAATATGTTGTTGGGGGTCAATTTCATCTTATCCACTCTCATATATTTTAGGAATTCAAACATTCATCAATTGTTAATGCACTCTCTAAATTACCTTTCAAGAAGGCTTTCTCCCTATGAGTTCATACGATTCCTAGCATTCCTAATAATTAGTTTTTCTAGCACAGGAGTTAATGACAACCAATATAATATGGGGAGTAATTCCCCGGATCTAGACTTTCCCCGTACGTTCCCGTTATCGACAAAAATAATAATCATGCATTGAATGAGTTTAAACAAAGCAAGCATTAAGCAAAGAGGAAAAACCCTAACTAATGATGAAAGAAAGCATAAATCTTAGATTAAGAAGCCACAAAATTCCATATATGAGAGCTTCAAAGATTACATTGATTCCCCAACAAACATACAAGGTTTAGTTCACCATATTCATGGTGAACCTAGATGAACAATAATGAAAGAATGAAAGAGATAGAAAAACCCGAGAAAGAGAAGAGGAGAGATGTCACCATCTCCCAATTACCCCCAAGGGGTTGAAAAAAGAGAGGGTTTGCTTCGTCTGTGCCAAAGATACCAACCCTAAGCATCTAGGTCTTTAAATAGGACATAAAAATAATAGAAAACGGGTCCAGGCCAAACAGATCATAAAATCGCATAAAACTATGGCCCAAAAACTCGTCTGGTTGACTTTTTTCGTATTCTGGTTGACTGGACTTGGTTGCTGACTTTTCTGCTGATTTCTGATCCTCTCTCCTTCTTCACTTCTTTCACTAAATTACCTTAAAACCTGCACAAAAATATTGAAATCAAGCCTAAACCTGTCCAGCTCTCTTATTTATGAAAATATGGATAAAAGCATGATTTCAAGCTAGTTTCTAAGTGTAAAGGTTGTCTTTTTGTGTCAATTTTAAGGCATGAAAATAACAGTTTTTCAACTGTTATCATCAGCCCATAAGTCCTTAAGATTGTTGGAAAAAGCCCCCCTTTTTTTTTTTGACCAAAATAGTCTTTTTCTGAGGCGTGTAGAGTCACTGTCCTTAAGGACTTATCCGCGGTGTGTTGCGCAAGTCCCCCAGGATACAACAGGAACTTCTCAGAATGTCTGAGGATCTCAGAACTAGCAAGGAACTCTAAATAGAGTATAAGAATAACCCTGAATATTTTTAGAAGAGAGAAAAAGCTAAAGAATGAAATTCAGAAAAGAGAAGAATGAGAAAGATTGAATTTGGTGTGTCTTCGAATGGAGGAGGAGCTCCCTATTTATAGAGCTAGAAAGAATCAAGAAAATAAAAGAAATTAAAAAACCATAAATGATTTAATTAAAACAAATTTGCACGTTAAAAGAAAATGAACGTTGCCACCCAATGTTCCAAACATTAAAGCTCATAATTTAATGTTTTTAAACCACACATTAACTTTTGCAATAATATAATATTAATATATTATAACACAGTCAACCACGTCAGTTAAGAAACTGACTACAACGTGCCACGTCAAACACACACTAACGCCGTTGAAGACAATTTAACGGAAAGGGTCCAATTGTTGCAATTTTTATAAATTTGGGACCCAATTGAGATTTCCAGAAACAAAGGGACTAAATTGAGATTTCACGCAAAAATAGGGACTTCGTGAATGATTAAACCTAAAATTTTTAAACTATTTAAATAGTATCAATAGCTGAATCGGTGAAAAAAAATAAAGATTTTTAACTACCAATATTGCTAAATAACAACTTCAAATTGATAACTAATTTTATTTACAAAATTTTTACATATTTATAAACAATATTTTATTTTCACATGCTTATAAACAATGTTCTTGACGAGTTATAAATACTAAAAATTTAATAATATCAAATAACAATCAACATCAATATATAATTTAGTAAAGACTAATATAAAAATTAAAAGTATAAAATAGAGTATTAAAGTTAATCGATGTTTTAAAATAATGAGACAGAATATTTTAACGTTAAAATAATTTAATAATATAAATAAGATTTCATAAACTCGTCTCATTATCAAAAACACTAATTACCTTTTTAGAACTTCTTTTCTAAGTTCTTTTTCCTTCTCTCTACAATTTCTAACTCCTGGATCATCTGTTTGATGATTAGGAAGTGTCTAAGCGATCACGTCGATGAATCTTTCATTTCTTATCGATTAGTTTTCATTATAGAGCAAGTAAATTTTAGTTCATTTTTCCTTTACTTCTTAGTTTGAGGCCATGCATAAGGGATTCTTTTGCATGCGTCATTTGGCTTATTTTATCCAGCTCCTTGTTGATAAGAAGTCATAAAGACTTTTTATCAAAATTTTGTGGTTCATAGGTGTTTATAGAGTTTCTTATGCTCAAAGCAAGAGAAGTGCACTATGTAGAGGGTGGTAACATTCCTGTTAAGGTAAGGGAAGCTAGTGTTTTCTTTTAATATGAGTTATGAAGTATGAATTGATAGACAATGGTATGTGAACTTGATGTATGTGGAGTGTTATGTTTGAAATTTTTAGCATTTAATGTGTTTGGATGAGTGAATTTGTGCTTGGATTGGATTATTGTGATAAATTCTATGGTTATAAGGTTTGGTAGAGTCAAATGTGTTTTAATATTGATAGAAAATATTAAACAAAGCATAGGGTTCTAGAACGATGGTACCTAACGTATGAACATGAATGATTTCTCACTATCTGTGGTGGATCATGACATTATGAGTGGAAGCTCAGTCATTTGCTATTCCACACAACTACCGCTACAATTCCTTCTGCCTATGGTTCTATGACTGTGAATCTGACGGACAAATTGAAGATGGACAATCGAAAGGGGAAATGAAAGAAGTGAGTGAGAAGAGGCAATGAAGGAAGGAAGAAAATAAGAAAACGAAGGAGGAGAGGGAACGGGACGACGAACAGGAAGTCCAAAATTTTGAGAAGAAGGGGATTCGAAAAAATGGGATTTGGAATTGGGAAAGAAAAAACTTTAAGTCTAATTTTTTTAGAGGGAAATCATGTAAAAAAATGTAGAAAATAGATAAATTATTTGAAGAGGTTATAAACCTCTATAGAAAACAATCAAAACTCCCACTATTATTGTCAATTAGATAATTCAACTTAAGTATCTTAAATCATGTTAATTTGTGGGGTTTTTTTAATAACTTCTGCAAAATAACCCCTGCTAAATAACTTTTTTTAGTGGCTGAAATAGAGAGCTTGGGGTCTTGTGTTAGACCATTTCTAGAGTTTCGACATTCTCAGAGTTCAGTGGTGTCGGTGTAAGTAAAGCTATATTTTTGTTAAAAGTATGTTTGTTATGTAAATCTAGTATCTTCATGAATGGTGACATGATTTAAATGTAAATGGGGTATTTATTCTAGTATTCATTGTATAATATGATGATTATTGATAGTATGGTGTTTGAATGTTAGCAAGGTGTGATCGTGGTAATATTATTGTTCAAATTGTATATGTTTAAGTTGTACTTTGATGATTGGAATTGGTTGATAGGGTAGGGAGTAAAGAGTTCTCAAATGCAGAGGTTTAAAGTTGAAAATGGAGGTTTTAATAGGCATTTTTGTGAGATAAGATTTAGATTGAGAAATCTGGTGTTTCGAGTTTGATTATATGTTATTTGAAGGTTGTTAGCAACTTGAATTAGTAAATATTTGATAAGGAACTAGGTACGGGTCAATGTAGTGATTTTGGTATGTTTTAGGTTCAATTTTAGAGGTTTTAATTAATAGGTGAAAGTCTAAAAGAAATAAGACTGAGGTAAAATAAAACTTTTAAGTCCATCCTTAGGTGATTTAAAGCTGGTTTGAACTTTAAGAATGGTGGGAAAACTAATGTGAGACTTATTACTAGTTGATATGTTGAAATTGGCTTGAATTAGAACTAGTTTTAGGGGTTTTACGAACGTCGAAACTCTAGAAATGGTCTAACACAAGACCTCAAACTTGTATCTTTGGCGTTTACCCCCATTTACATTTAAATCATATCACCAATCATGAAGATACTAGATTTACAAAACAAACATACTTGTAACAAAAATATAGTTTTTCTTACTTTACACCGACACCACTAAACTCTAAGAACGTCAAAACCCTTGCTTCCAACTCAAGAAACTCTAAAAATGCCTACAAACTATAGAATTGAGATTAGAAAAGATCATTAAGACAGTTGATTGACAAAGAACAACAAATAGATAAGGGTGAATACATGCGCCAACCCTCAAAACCAAAGATTTTATAACAAAACAACGAAAGGAAAAAGGAGTCGAAACTTACTTGCTCTATAGGAGAAATTGATCAGGTAGAAACGTAGACCTTGTTGTCATGGTCATTTAGGAACCTCTTGATCGTTAAAGAGATGATTTAGGAGTTAGAACTCTTTCAGAGAAGGTAGAGAACTCAAGAAAAAAGTTTTAGAAAAAATGAATTGTGTTTTAGATAATAAGACGATATAAACTTCTCTTTATATCATGAAATCTTTATTATTAAAATAAGTCGATCTCATTAAACTAAAACACCAATCTACTTTATACACTCAAATTTCTCGGTTATTACATTAATAAATCATAAATTAATTTTTATAAAAAGTCTATAAAAATAAATAAGTTTTATAATTTTTTTAAACTATAAATATCTATTTGAATTCAAAAGAATACTTACTAAAAAATAAAATTGAAAAATAATTTTTTATTTGAATTTAGAAAAATAATTATTAAAAAGATAAAAGTGAAAACAAAATATGTACAACAATCTCCTTTATTAATAATAAAATAGTATAAATTATAGATTCTATATAGTTATATATAAGAGAGAATATATATTTTTCCTAACTATTTCGAATCCACTTTTTATCAATAATTCTCCCAGATAAATAATATAAACACACATCTTTTAATTTGTAAATATTTTTTTAGATCATAATTTTTTAAATTGTATTATTACATTTAATCTAAAAAGTAGGGATACACAGGGCGAGAGCGCGTGTTTGTATTAGTTGGAACTTGGAAAGAAAAATTCTCCCTTGTGAGCCTACACCGTTGCCGTGCACCTCCAAGCAGGAGATCCGAGCACACACCGAAACGCGCAACCAAACCGTTAGTTTCAGAGCCGAACAAACGGAACCACCAACAAGCCAAACACAAACCCACACTTCTTCTTCTGCTAACCCAAGAAAGAGAAAGAAACAGAGAAACAGGAAGCGAAAGAGTTCACCATAACGCAGAGAACTCCACTTTTGATCACACTCAGAGATGGACTGTGCTTCAGTGGGAAGCGAAGAGTACTCTTTGTTGAAAGATTTAAGACTCGAAATTGAAGCAAAGGACGGAACTTTCTCTCTCTGCTTTTGGCTTTATTTCACGACTTCCTCTGCATTCCCCTCTACCATTATTCAGCAGGTCTTACACATTGTAGTTTTTCCCTTCTTTCTGAGTTTTGTGTGTTTGTGGGGTATTAAGGTTTTTCTCAATCTTCTTGATCAACCTTTTTTCACTGTTTGGAATTTGTAATCGTAATATCGTGGGCCTGGACATTCTGTTTTCCTTGTTCTGTATAATTGGGATAGTCTCGTTCGAGAAAGTTGTGAGTTCTCTATGTTTTCACTGCAAATTAAATTTGTTTTGGTTTTGATAACTGATGGACTGCTTGAACGTGTGTTTCTCATCCTCTAGTTGGTGGTTTAGGCTTTAAGGGGTTTTCATTTGTGCTCTTTAGTCTGAAATCTGCTTTCAATCAGTAAATTTATTACTTCCTGTTTTGCTAAACCTCTTTGCGTTAACTAAAGTTGGAGTTTTGATAGGATTAACTCAGTTTTTGCAGAATGTTCTTGTTGTTTTACTTCATACTCAAAAATCCTTATTAGTAAATTAGAGATGTAGAATTTAGACTAGACCTATTCGATTATATATAGCTAAATATGTGATGCTCACATTATGTTAGTAATGCCGGCTTGCTATAGAGTTGGGGAAACTGATTTCGATAGAATTTATTATGAACGGTTTGTTGAATGAAATTAGAATGGATCTCATTTTAGTCATAAATTTACATAAGACCATGTGTCTCTTTAGAAAGTGTGAGAATTTGTTTTCCATAGCGAAAATTAATAGGGCCAGGAATGGTAAAACATCTCCCATCCTCCATTTGACGCTACGCCATCTCTCAAGTGCAAGGTTAAATGCTTTGATATTTGATCATTCAACTTTAACTGTTTAGCATTTAGGTTTGTGTAGTGATATATTAGAAGCGATAGTTGTTTTTGTTTAATATTTTGTCTGCTGTCTTGATACTTAAGGTTGAAAATTTTCCATGCCAATTACTACGGGCAGTATTTTTTTGTCATTTTCTTACCTTTTGGGGAATAAAACTTAATATTTTTAATCATTGAATGGACAGAAATATAAATCAATTTGCTTTGCAGGTTTACTCTGATATCTCTGAAAGTGCTCCTTTTCTTGTTATTGATGATAACAAGAGAATCCATTTGTTACCAGTTCTGCTCTTACACGAAGAAGCTCCTGATACCGGCAATATAAATTCCTGGGCAGAAGTTCCACATGCAACTATTGATTTTAAGTTTCCTTTGGAAAAATGGGTTCATGTTGGATGTCAGGTATCTTATATAATTATTTGAGAATTACCTTTCGTAAACTACTTTAATGTTTCTTTGTTGGTTTTTTCACTTGACTGAAATGCCATCCTGCTACACTCCTAAAATTGACTTATTTTACCATAAGGCACTTGCCCTAATATGTGTATTCTTCAATCATTGATTTTTTATTTTTGCTTGCTGGAATATATAAACTGGGGTAAAAATAATAGAATGAAACAGAAAAGCAAATTCCTTCTCGTAAGATTTTTCCTTCCATGAAAGAACTTGTGACGAACAATGGAGCACTTTTCTTGCTGCTACTAGTAGAGCCCTCTCCTGTCCTTTCCTTTATACTTTTTAATTTTGTCTAATTGGAATATCAGATGGTTACCTTCTTGTGCAGGTTTGTCCAGATTATATCCAGCTTCAGATTAATGGAGAGATTGTAGGAGAGAAGTCTCACTGTTCCTTATTAAATGAAAAATCTGGTTCAAGAGATTTGAAGAAACTCACATTGGCAAATGTTGGCGGAGATGGAAATAGTGTACAGTGTTATGTGCACAATTTTGAAATATATCCTACTATTGCTTCTGTTAAGGATTACCATTTAAAGGTGATTCCATGCTCATATTTTTAAAGTACATGGTAGATTCACATTTCTTTGTGCATCTTTGTTTATAAGAATCAGCAAAAACCTTATTTGATCCTTTGAATGCCAGGACCCTCCTCTGAAGTTATCAATTGATGAATCATCTGTCTCCGAGATTGAAGAAGAAAGTGATGGTGTTTGGGCTGTTGTTGGTGGCAAGGTAAGAAAGATATTTTATAAACGATACCATGTTAATCTTATTTTATACGTTCATCTTTATTGTCATAAATCATAAAGAGAAAAGTCCAGGCTAAGCCCTGCATTTTCTGTTGGAGTTTAATTTTGGATATATGTGATGTGATGCAATTTATGTTTAACATTTTAAATGTTCTTGTAAACCAATCATGTATATGCAAGTTTGCAAGTGTTAAGAGTTAAGTCAAACTTTTCTTGTTACCATGAAAATAAATATGAACAAATAAAATAGATGATGGAGAGGTGAAACAACTGCTATGTTTCTAGTATTTGCATACCTATTATTTATACTTCTGAAAATGTGACTATTAATTCTTACTCTTTTCTTTCCAGTGCTCATACTTTTGAGAAATGCACAAATTAGTTCCAGTGTTAAAGTTTCCTTAAGTGAAAAATTTAATTTCAAATTCATTTGCATAATTTGGCACAGGCATCTTGTCGTAGGAACTTCTCTTTGGATGTTGTTCTATCAGATGCTTTTGGACAGCCCGTAGATAAGGAGAATGAGGTTTATAATCCTGATTTTTATTCTGGGCAAGTTAATGGTCTCTGGAAAAAGGAGCTTGGATTTGTAATTTCACATTATCGTTGTTGATTGTAAGCAGGTTTTTGCTTCACTTTTGTATGCCGACACTAGAGTTCTAGTGGAGAATACAACTGATGATGAAGCACCCCTTTTAGCTAGTTATGATGGAATTGAATTTTCTTCTCGTGAAAGACCAAGTAAGCTTATGCTGGGTCGTGCTTCGTTTAAGCTCAAAATATCTCAGGTGAAGATGCCAACAATGAATGTGTGCTTTTGTCATTTCCTCTAATTTATTGTTTTTCTGCTGCTACTTGATAACTCTTTCTGAACTTTTAGTTGGAAGCTAACAAGATGACTGATGTCATGTGCCGTGCACAACAATTCATACTTTTATATCATTACCATAATTATGATGGTCAGCATAGGCAGTAGATTCATTCAGAAAATACAAAAAAATCCTAAAGAACATAATATGGAAGCACCACCATATTGAAAAGTGTGTCAAATGGGTGGGCAATGGAAATAGGTGTAACCGTTTTTGGAAAACACCATTAGGAGTTAGTGAGAGAAGATGATAGAATGAGGCTCTTGGTTAGACAAAATAGCAAAGGCATCCTTTGGATAAGATAACAAGATATAAGAACAACATTGTTAGGGGTTGGAAGGTATATGAGAGAAAAAGGTTTTGGAGAGAAGGAGAAGGCTGAATGGGGGAAGACGGAAGACCAAGCCGAACGGTGGAAAGCGAGGAGAGGCCAGACCGAACGGTGGAAGGTGGGGAGAGGTCAGACCGAACAGTGGAAGGCGGGGAGAGGTCAGGCTGAACGGTGAAAGACGGTGAGGAGTCAAGCCGAACGACCGAAGGAGATGAGAGCTCGAGCGAAGGGATGGGAAGCAGTGAAGACCCTGAGCCGACCATTTGAAGAGTGACTATCCTAATTGGGACAATAGTTAGGATAGGCGGGAAATATTTAGTAATAATTATAGTAAATAGAGTTATATCCTAGGGAAATATTCAGTACAAGTTAATTATAGTAATTAGGGCTATATCCTAGGGAAATATTCAGTACAAGCTAATTACAGTAATTAGAGCTAAATCCTAGGGAAATATTCAGTATAAGTTAATTATAGTAAATAGAACTATATTCTAGGGAAATATTTAATATAAATAAAGCCGAGACGCTAGGGTTGGAGGTATGCTTTTGATTATTGAGTTTTGTTGACAGGCTGCTAGAGTCTTGTGAGGGAGGTTATGCTCCCAGTTATCTTTGTTTACTTTTGTTTATTCAGATATTACCATCAATAAAAGAGATTCATTCATCCATTATCATTCGTTCATTGTCTTTTCTACCTATTGTGCCAAGGGGGATTAGGCCTCTGGTTCGAATCCGGCAGGTCGGACCAATTTGTTAGGTTCCTGGGTTGGAAACCTAACTATCAACGCTCACAGTAAGCAAAAGAACAAAGAAAGAATGAATTTCTATATTGAAATTGAGAACAAAGTACACTGATAGCGTTAATGGAGGCCTAATCCCCCTCTTAACCCTACCGGAGGCCTAATCTCCCTCTTCTGGCCAATGTCCAGATTTACAAAATAATCTTCAAAACTCCCCCCACAGAATTACCAAAAGGCTTATTTATACTCTATTTCTCTCCCTAACAACTTAACAAACTTTTCCGCTCTTTACTTTTATCCTAAATCCATTACCCATTATACCGTGCCACCCCATATCCTAACAAATGCTCAGATTTTTGAATATACAAAGGAAAATGGAGAGGTCACACTTTTCTTAGCTCAATTATGCTTTCCTAATTGACATGATGTATAACGTAAGTTTGACAACTTGGAGACACTTGGTCTAATAGCTAAAGCTTTGACGAACCATGATGTCCTAGCTAGGCATTTATAGGCAGTGTCAATCATTCCTCCCATAGTTTGTTCCTGCAAGATAACAACTTTTAGTAAAGATAATGGCAAAATTGTGATACTGTGAGTCAATGAACAGAAAGAATGTTAAATGGCAACCAGGGACATATAAGTTAAATTCAACTGTCAAGGAGGGAAGAGGATGATGGTGTCAATGTCATGTGATTTCATCGGGGAACTATTAGAAAATGTGATAGCCATTAAATAACCAATAAAGGGGAAAGAAAATAGACAGTGAGAGATACTAGCTATAGCTATGGTAGTGGTGATTTGGGTTTTCTATGGCAGCAGTTCATGGTCTCTTTGAACACCATGACTAATGCAACACTGGTTGTGAGAAAGAAGATGAAGCCTCTGGTCTGCGTGACCTGACCCAAGACTAATCCACCCTAATTTCATTGTTTTTAAAGCTGCTCTAGGTCCTTATTCCAAACCCAATACTAGTAGTTTTATTTTGAGAAAAAGGGTTGGGTTGTACAACCTAACCCAAACCTAACTCAATTAAAAAAACCTAAGGTACCAATAACAACCCAAAACGAACTACAGTTTCATTAAACAACCACAATAGCTCAGCAAGTCATTGGTGTCGTCCATGTGACTTGTGTTGCATGAATTGCAATCTATTCCATTGCTGCCTATGATTTATTCCTCCTCCACCTAACCTTTCCCCTAATGCAAAAATATTATCTTTTCTCTTTTTTCTATTTCCTATTCTGTTCTTCATCGCCACCTCCCCTTTTTTGTTTCCTCTTTCGTTCTATAGTGCTCCCCTTCACTTTTTCAATTTTATTTTTCCTTTTCTACTGTATTATTTGCCTTTATTTAAAGTCTTGAATTTGAACTTGGTGGTATTTTGGCATTAATTTTGTTGTTATTTGAATATCTAGACTTGGTATTTTATTAACTGTATGGTTATCTTTCATTAGCATTGCAATGATATTCCTACATTTTTTTATATTATTTGTTTGTGATGCTTTTGACATAATCCGTTATTGCTTTCTATGTATTTTTGTAAAGTATTTTTGTGTTTCACATTGGGTGCATTTTCCAAAATGATCAACAATGATGATGGTGGTTGTAGTTGTGACAATACTTGGAATATAATGTCATTGTTTGAGAATGTGCTTAATGCTTTGAGATGCAAGAGAAGATATACTGAGAATGTGAGAAAAAGAGCTTAAGAGATTGGTCCTTCTTATTTATAGAAGAAAATTACGTCATGAATATCTAAGTAATTAATGCTAACAACTCATAGGTATAACATATAGCGGTTTTCCAACACAAGTGCTAACTGTTAGGATATTTATCCTATTTTATCATCATTATATTGTGTCAAGGGTTACTCTATTTATCATGATTATATTGTGTCTAGGGTTATCCTATTTATCATGATTATATTGTGTCTAGGGTTACCCTATTTATCATGTACTCTTGTATCAATTTATTCTTATAAATAGAAGATTATGAGAGGGATCAATCAAGCCCTCTAGAATTATTTTACAGTTTAATTCTCAAGTAATCAATCAAGCCCTCTAAAATTATTTTACAGTTTAATTCTCAAGTTGGTATCAGAGCGAGTCGATCCCTCTTAGGATTTCCACGGTCACAAAAGGGCTATAAGTGTTTTTCCCCTTCCCTCAATCGTCGTTTTATCTCTGCTGATGTCACTTTTGATGAATCTTCTTTTTACTTTTCACGTCTATCTTCTAGTTCTGTACCTCCACCTGCTACTGTTGATATTCCTATTTTCTGTGATCCTCCTGGTGATGCTTCACCCATTTTTGTCTCCTCCTTCTTTAAACTCATTCACCACAGGGTCGTCGTTCACCACCACCCCTTCAGGTTTATAGTCGCCGCAATTGTCTCCCTCATGACTCACTTCAAGTGCCACCTCCTGTGTCTCCTCCGGCTCCAGCAAATGAGTCTGACCTGCCTATTGCCCTCAGTAAAGGTATACGCTCTACACGTAACCCTTCCCCCCATTATACTGTTTTTAGTTACCACAAATTATCTCCATCTTTTTACATATGTCTCTCATCCATTTCTTCTGTGTCAATTCCCAAGTCTGTGGGTGATGCCTTAACTTATCCTGGCAGGCGTCAAGCTATGCTGGATGAATTAAGCGCTTTACAGAAAAGTGGAACTTGGGAGCTTGTCCAATTACCATCTGGAAAGTCTATTGTTGGTTGCAGGTGGGTGTATGCTATCAAGGTTGGCCCTGATGGCACAATTGATCGTCTGAAAGCTCGACTGGTTGCCAAAGGCTACACACAAATTTTTGGTTTGGATTATGGTGATACTTTTTCTCCAGTGGCAAAAATGACCTCTGTTCGCCTATTCATTGCCATGGCCGCTCTTCGACAATGGCCTCTTTACCAACTTGATGTCAAA